GCTTTGAGTGGAGTGTCCAGAAAAGTGTTATATAAATGTAAGCAATTATTATTAGTATTATTATTATTTTATGTGTTCTAGACCTAAATACAGGATTTAGATCCTGGATATCAGTGGATTGCATTTAAAAATGAAGTACTAATGGTATATGTAATACAGCATGCATACCAATAGATGTGTTATATACAGTAGGATAATCAAATTTTTAGGGTTTGTATAATTTCTATTTTGTGCTCAGTTTCCACCAGCACTCAATTAGGTGCCAGCTAACCACAGGAAAAACAGTTGGGTCAGTTGGTAACTAGAATTTCTCTCAATTGCTATCAATAAAAGTCCACATACAGCAATATAGTAATTGAGCAACATATGGTAAAAAAAGACATTGATCTCTCTTACCTCTTACCTTGTTCAGTATTTCACTGGCAACCTTATACATTGCTTGCACACATATTAATCACACATCTCACACTGAAATTACACACAGTAAATTCACAAGCAGGCATGCACATGTACAGAACATCACGCCTCCACAAGAAACAAGGATACAGCAATAAATTAACGCCAGAGATCATGTTCTCATTGAGGTTACCCAACATGCATTATTAGATGTAAGATGATTGAATGAAAGCTTGAGATCTGCTACAGGCCCTGGGTTAGAATGCTCTCGGATGGGAAGCTGTGGTTACCTGATGCTTTCATGTGTGCTTTGCCTATTGGTTTCCAAACTGAAAACAATCCTAAAAAGGATAAAGAAAGTCCTCTTTCCCGGGGGTTCAGTCAAACAGGTGAGGGTTTTGCGAGGTCAGTGCGTGGAGTGAGAGGGACTGAGGGGCACACAGGAGAACGTCATTAGGACACTGCTCTGCTGCTGTAGCCAGTCAAGTGCGGATGAGGTGAAGTTAAATGCATGGAAGGGGCACGCAGATCATTTTTGTGAAGCCTTCTAATCGGTTTTCGTTTAAGCAGGGAAGGGAAGAGACCGAAAAACGGAAATTTTGACCTACCTGTCAATCACAAATTACACACCAAATCTGGAGTTTCATATTTGAGGGGATTTTTACTTTTCTACTTAATGGAAACTCACTTTCGAGGTCGTGTTTGAAATTTGTGATAGGCCATTGGGTTGAAGTGCTGATTTACCTGGCACTGTATGGTAATGTACCATTCGAACTTTTCTATAACTATGTATTCATAAAATCTTCAGTTATGAATGAAAGGGCACAGATTTTTTTAAAAAATCCATAGTAAGTTAATATATCACATTGTTCTATCTCAGCTGAATTGATCACTTATTTTTTATTAATGATTTTGATTATATACAAAAAAAACAGAGTCAGCATTACATGTTCCATCTCTGGGCCAATGATATAAACTGCTAATATTTTATATATAAAAGTATTTTTTGCTCCTGTAGTTTTCTCGGTGGAATATGCAAGCACTATGGGCGGTTTCCTGATTGTCTTTGTCTTGCTGAGCCATGTTTTTCTATCATCTTTAGTTAAGAGGTTCCACTTCAAAGTTTTCGAAAAACCTCTTCAAAAATGCTTCTTAACACTCATCACCGAAACTAAATTTCAGATTTTCTGCAAGGAGAAAACGATTTAATTTCGAGCTCATTTAGATGCAGTCTAGAAGTGTGAATAGAGTTGTAGTAGATGTTATATCTTTAATACATTTACTGGCCGAGAGTGAATAATCATGAATTAATCATCAGGAATTGAAAAGCAAAGGGCACCAAGACTCATACCCTAGATTACTACTTTAAAAAGCAACAGGCTGTCTTTAAAGTTAATCTTCTTGCTTTTGTAGTCTCTAGAAACAGCCTTCACATGGGCCACTCTCACTTTGTCCTGACAGACACGCCACTGGATAGGCTTCTCACTGATTCAGAGGTCCACTACCCTGCAGTAATGGAAAACTGTACAATTAAATTTAGCACTGTTTTATTATAACAGCACCTGATATTTACTGTGGACCTGATATTGTAGACCCTATTTCCTGCCTGTGATAAAAAGGTAACTCCTGGTCTCACCAAATACCTGTTCCACAGACTGGCATCTACACAGGATATTTTTAAGCCGATATGCTCTAGTCTACAATAACCCTGTGGTGGTTTGGAATTTGCATCTGATTTTGTGAAAGCCAACAGAAAACGGTCAGCCAAGCTGAAGAAGACTGCTTATGCAGAAGCAGGCATTTATCAACGTTCGAATGGATTCTTGATGCCAATGGCATCATTCTTTTACTTTTTTGGTGATTGCAGCCATTCCCCCTCCCATGAAAGTGTCAGGAGAGTTTGATGTAGAGGAGGAGAGACCAGGATCTTAGCAAGCTGAGGCCTCAAGAAGCCAGTGAGACATGAGCAACTGAAAACTGCAGGGATAAAGCAGTATTGTTGAGGGAAGAAGCAGAAGCTCACACAAAAGACTGCGGACATGTGTAAATAAAGGAGGCAAGAGAATAGGAAGTGTTTTTCTATAGTTACTATTATTACTCTTAGCTGCTGAATGAGTCACACGCATACACGAAGTCTGAGTCCTCATAATAGTACAGAACCACTCACAACAATAAACAGAACAAGATGCTGCAGTGTGATGAGGGCTAACAGTCAAGAGATGCACATACTGTACGAAATACAGCAGTTTAATCTATTGATGTTTTTTTCCCCTGCAAGTAACTAAAGAGCTTTGAAGGACATCTGATTTCATTAAAAAAAAAGAAGTACACAACTTTTTTTTTCCCCACTAATCAGGATGGTGATACTCTGATCTGTACAAGATCTAGAGACCTGGAAAACATATTACATTCAGGTTTGAAACAAGCATAGCCCAAAAACAGTTTGTCAGATGTGGTTTGCTGTAAGCCTGGTTAACGTAAGTGTTTTCCCAACAACATCATTCCTTGCAGTCTTAAAATATAAGTTTCATAAGTTGCATATGGACTGAAGAAAACCATAGCCAGAATCGTCATGCACTGTATACTGTACATGTCATATCATCCTCAATCAACAGTGTGTGTTCTTGAGTAACACAGTGAATTAGTATAGATCACATTCTTGGCATATTATTAAATAAAACAAACTTTTGGTTTTACTGTATCAATGCAAAACTAATTAGAGTGAAATTAACATGCAGGAAAACACCCAGACAGGTGCACTGGAAAGGAAGTGTGATCTACTGTAAATCCATAAAATAATTCAACAGTAGACAATGTGGCAATTTCACAGATTCTAGAGTCAAAAGGACTTGTTTATCCTCCCAGAATCCGAGTGGCTGCAAAGGATTTCTGTGTCTCCTTTGCATGAATGCCCATCAGAATTCCAGAATGTCTCATTCATCCAGCCAAAACATGCAAAGTGTGGCTCAAGCATGCAGGGACGGCCTGTTGAAGGCCTGTGACGACTTGGGGCTGAACAGGGGTACCTCCACCTCTGAATGCGACAGCATTCACTACATGCAGAATGCAAGGGGTTAGTAGGTCACATAGAGTGTGTCTGGAGTGTTTCCTTGTTCTTTAAACCCACTTCATATATAAAATGCCAAAAAAAGAGGCTCAGTGCAGGGCAAGGTACAGTATCCCTTGACAGAACATGGATAGTATGTAAGATCCATGTAGCATACTGTTATTATTCAAGATGGACACTGCCTTGAAGCAAAGGTGATGAGATAGCAAACATGGCAAACTGCAGCTTCGAAATTAAGAGGAATACAAAACACACAAAGAGACATGGCTCCTTAGTGTTCAAGATTTAGCTAAATAGCAGAGGTGCTGGCAGAGAACATGAAATACACAGAATGAGAGTAGTGCAAAGCCACGCGGCTGCAATTTCAGAAGACATACATCTGAAGAAGATGGCTTCTCATTTAATTCTCAGTTTTTGTCCCATATATAATGAAGGACCATCTACAGTACGTGTGGTCTGAGAGCCTAAACAGAAATGGAAGGGACAATTGCAGTTCCTTGGCGGGAATTGGGCAATTGGCGGGAATTAGGAACTGGCTCAGGCTGTCACCTCTACTAGGTAGATAAATTATTAGACGGAAGAGGAGGGGGAGCGGGAGAGGAATGGAGCAGGAGAAGCAGACCTGAATGCTTGGGAGATCGAGCCGTGCAGATGGTAGTATCTGTGCGTGACAAAATTCCTGTGGTACCTAGTTTTTCCTGGGCAGCACCCACATAGTGTTTCTTTGCATGAACTCTCTTTACTGGAAATGAGGGAGAATAGTGCATTAGTCCTTCAGGGAAGACAACGACAAGAGCAGGAGAGCTGAGCAAGACATTCTCTCATTAGAGAGTCTTCACAAAAATGTTTGAAAAATATAGGAACTGCTAGCTCTGGAAGTTTGAAGTTACCTGTGGTTATGGCTGCTGTACTGTGGTGAAGAGAAAAGTCATTTGAACAAAACAGACAACACAGTCTTTATTACATTAGGCAATGTCTTTATCCTGTAACGTCAGGATGTCCTCAGTCTGCTTGCCATCACCTTGACTTTATGTACTATACCCACTTCTTAGTCTGATTCATTTTCTGGAAACCAACAGGGGCATCTGTTTCAATTCAACTCCCAGTTCAGAGGTACTTCAGCTTTCTGAGAATCATTGCTTTCCTTTGATTTTTGTTTCCGTAAAAAGTCGTATACTTTTGTATAATCTTCAAATTTCAATGTATTCAAGAATTGACATGAGGCACAGAGACAAGAATGCATGAAAAAAAATGCTCATGTTCAGTTTTGGAGGAGATTGAATGTAACAAAAACCTAAACAACTGAAAAACTAGAGAGACTGTACCAAATTTAACTTAACATCTGGGGTAAACAGATTTCAAATCTGTGTGAACAAAACCTCTACAGAATGCCAAAATGCTTTCTCCATTACTTTACATAATCATAACATTTGGCATATCCTGCCAATCAATGCAACATAATCATTATGCAGATTTTGCTAAATTAAAGTCATGTACTGTAAGAGTTCAGACATTAAATTACTGACACATCATCTCCCTGCATATCGTGCCAGCTGTGAGAGATTATTTACGTGCCCCATTCACGCCACCTAAACAAAGCTTAGCTCCACAAACTGTGAGCATGCTGCCCTTCCAGCCCTTTGCTCAAAGTGGAATTTAGGTGGCACGGATGGGGAGTCTCACAGCTGTGAAGAAGGCAAACATTTGACTAACAAGCTGGGATGGTTGTTCCATATTGATGACCTCGGATGTGAAAACATGATCTTGCTAGACTTATTTCACAAAACGTGGGTGTGGGCCATTCTCTTTTAAAAGCAGCTGCTCCCACACGGCTCGCAAAACGTCACTTTCCCCACTGTCAAACATTAAAACAAAAAATTGGCATGGATTCATTTGAAATGCAACCAAATCAAGAAACCAAGAATGGAGTTCATCCTTCCATTCTAGGGCTAGCGCTTTAACTGTGCAGGTTTTCAATAACGCCACACACACAGCTCTGCAAAACAAGTCTAGGCCTACAAGGAGAACAGCTTTGGATATAGACCCATCCATCAGACCACTGATACACATGATCGACAAAAAAATAACATTTGCATCGACTTTAATGAGGGGTTGCTACAAATCAAAACCCAATTTGGGGTTAAAATGCCCTCTGTGTTTTAAAAGAAAACCGTACTTGTGTGTTTCAGCCTGTCCAACGAAAACTATAGCTGCTGCACTTGCAGAAACAGCACTGTGAGATCTGTTCCTCAGATCGCTGTGCATATTTCTGCAGCCTCTCCCTGAAATTTAGGTGTAAATTTATGCAGCACTGCATGATACTAACTTGCAGCACCTGACAGTAGCAACACCTCTATTAAAAAAAAAGAATGACTACCCTTTGGAGTTACACCAAATCCTCATTAAAAAAGCCTTGCATTTCAGAAGTCACATTACAAGTAAAACATCGGTTAACAGAAAAGGGTAATGCAGTTAGACCGACCTGGGGGAAGGCTCGGGCTGGGGCTCTTTCCTTTATTTAGAGGAAATAAAGAGAACACACACAAGTCATTGACATTTTAACAGTTTCCGCGAAATCTCTAACTTCGATACCTGTTGTGTTTCTTTCCACATCCTCCTGAGATGAGCTGTTGCCAGTCTATGACACTGTACTGTAGGTATCCCATGATATCCCATATAAATAAGTTCTTTATTGTGATAGTTTTATTTTCTGTACTGCGAAGCAACTCATTATACGATACACTATGCACCTGATTTGGAACCACTAGCTAATTTCAGATTACCGAGTCACGCATGTAGACCCAAGAGATATTCTTGATTTCTTACATGACCATACTGTACATCTTGCTAGTGGCAGATTGGTAGAGAATTCCATGCGACGCTTTGACAACCTCATATGGCCCTTAGATATACTCAGAGAAATGCTGGGAGCTCTGATTGACCCGCATGCGTGATGTGGGTGTACAGCAAATGAGTATTAATAATAATGACTAAAATAGTATAGTATACTTGGAGAGACCAGTGCACTGTGGGTTAAATAAGTGCAACAGAGTGCACATAGTTAGAGAAATAGGAAAAACAGATACACAGCGCAGCAAAGTGTGCCACCTTTCTTTCAATCCTGCCGATTTCCACATTTTCGTGTATAAACAGCTCAACAAAAATGGAATCTACAGCTCATTTTTCTCCTTGTTCCTGTCAAAGCTGTTTTTGCGAATACTGCTTTCATCCACGTTCCAATAGCTTTAGCCAGCAGGGGGTCATGGGGAGTTGGAGCCTATCCCAGCACGCAGCAGGCACAAGGCGGGATACAACCCTGAACGGGATGTCAGTCAATCCCAGGGCACACACAGACACAGACACAAACAGACACGCACACTCTCACACCAGGGCCGGTTTTCCCAGAAGCCAATGAACACACCAGCCTGTCTTTGGGGAAGAAACCTGAGCATCCAGACGAAACCCACACTAACACAGGGAGAACATGCAAACGCCACACAGATAGCACCCCAGGAGTTGAACCTGGGGCCCCAGAGCTGTGCCACTGTGCCACCCATGAATATCCCATGGGAAGGTAAAAATTGTATATTTCATTTTACTGCATGGCTTCTTGTGCAGCCTACATAATGTTCAGACTTAACTTGCTATGATTCTACGCCTCATTTATCATGGTAACCCATGAGGTGTCCCCTGCAGTGCAGTTATGCTCCATTGTGTTACTCACTCAACATAAGATAACACAGCCACCCACCTGAACTACTATAAGATAACACTGTTTTACAGTTTTTAGTAAATTAAGTTACAGTTCTCTGTAAAATGGTATCACATGCACCATTTTAGTTTAGCAACAGACAGGTTTTTGGATAATGGTGTCATCCACATAAATGTTCAATACACAGTGTGCAAACACTCAGGAACACTAAGTAAGCCACACACAGCTTTGCAAGTGTGCTCCTTTTTGTAGTCCGTGTTCCCTTTGTGTAGCGTGCACTGCACTGCGGGGCCGTTTCATACAGTATATTAGACGCTAATTACTTTCAATCATAGTTGTTTTCCTGTCCTAGTCATCTTCATTATTACTTCCGACACAAAATCCACACACTTAATTTCCACATTTCATAAACCACTGTGCATGTCAGCCATGCTCCACAAGTGCTCAGCAGAGACAGAAACATGCGTTGTCTGACCTGAAGGACAGTCCAGACTTGCTCTTCAGGTTGCGCAGTAGGTCCAGCTGATTCAGAGGAGGGATTAACCTGCAGAGAGAGAAAAGGACACAATCATTTTGCATTCACATCCAACTGGGCAGCCAGACATTGACATCCTATCTATGTCCTATGAATTATATTATTCTTTAATCAACAAAGCCCTGCACGTGTACCATCTCTTAGCATGATTTATCCTCTTCTCTGATTCTCACTTTCAGACATGCTTGGGTTGAGGGGGTCAGAAAAGGAGCTACTGTGCACTTCAGTGGTTATATTGGCTATTTAACCAGAAACAAATTACACAACGAATAATAAAGAATATCCAGCTTATTCTAACGAGGGTTATGGCAAGGTCAAAGCCCTGCTCAGAGTCACAGTGCCCAGAGTAGGGACTGATAGCAAACACACCAGTCCATTTTAAGAACATAGAGGAGACAATAGAGAATAGCCAGTCTAGCCAGTCAAATCTTAGCCGCAAGTCTCTGGGAGGTGGGAGAGAACTGAAGCAACTGGCAAAATCACACATAGGCATGGGGGAGAACATGCAAACTCCACACAGATGGGAATTCAATACCAGAGTCTTACTTGGGTGCAGTGGCATGAATTGCCATGCCACCGTAAAGCCAACTCTGCAAAGTGGGATGAATACAAAATTGCTTACACAAGTCCAAAGAACAAGAAACGAATCACAAAATGCAAAAGGCATAGGAAACTGGGCTTAACACCTACGTCTTTCACAGAATACAGAGTATGCCATAAGTTTCTGTAATATGAAATAGGATTTCATAATTCCCTTGTCTAAACAGCCCTTTAAACACAACCACCATGCTCTCCTACCTCTTCAAGGAAAACACTAACCTTAAACGAAAGCTTAACAGACAAGAGCACATGACAACAGCCCTTTCCAGGTGTTCGCACGATTAGTCCATCCTACTTTTTCTGCATACCCTGGTAGTCTGGCTCCACCCAGAAGTGTAGTGTTGCAGTCCAAGCAGCAGGTGGCAGTGTTTTACTACGTAAGCATCGAGCGATCGTTGTCTCCACTTTAGTGATTACAGAGCCTTGCCATTTTAAAATCAGCATCCTGTCCAGTCACAGAGGAGTGGGTCTGTTTGCGCAAAATATCCCACTGCTATGTGTGTATCTGCTTCAGCCCCTGTGAACAGGTACTGCACTATGAGCACCTCTGTACATCATGGCAGGGATCTGTACAAGCCCACGATGCAACACATGCTAACATCTTACAGGTGGTCTTTTTGAATATGTCTGCTATTAAGGGACAAAGGAATTATAACAATTATAACAAATAAGTATAATTATTTGAATAGAGACTGGAACTCAGCTTGAAGTGCAGTGGACTACTTCAATTATAATTAATGCTAACAACCAGCTTAGAGTTTGTGGGATGAGGCTCGTGATGGACTTCAAGTCCTTGTTAATGCAGTTTAGTGCAGGCCATGTCTACTTTGCTGGTTAGTGCTTGCACAGGCAAAGAGACAGAAGAGAAATGCACATCATGCAGTATTACATTTTGCACACTTTGAAGAGTGACAATTGGTTCACTATGCAGCTTTTGAATCACTGCACAACGTTTTCACCACTAGGATTTATTTCTGAAATGATAAAAATTAAGAATGAACTGGGCTGAAACGCCTTCATTCAATCTTGTTACACTGAGCACATTTATTTGAATTGGAAATGGGAAAAACTGGCGTTTAATTTTTTTTTAACACACACCACTTCCTTTTTTGTTCCCCAGAAGTGTCAGTCAATGTGTCACTCTACACTTAAATAAAACTAAAAACATTATTTCAGCTTAGCAACCTTGTAAAAGTTTCAAGGGATGATCGCCTCTCTTGATTTTTAATTCTGACATGTTAAAATACTTATATACTGTACGTGTATATGTAAAAACAGGTTATTATGAAAATCATGTACTATATCAGTAAGAGGTTTTCAGTAACAACTGAAATTACCTTTAGTGCAGTCAGACATTTAAGTGTTTCAAGCCCAGAAATTGTTTTTTTTTTTAACTGTGTGCAAGAAGATTACATTTGTTGTTAAAATTCACCTTTGCCACTTCTTCTGTAAATTCAGTATCCACAAAAGAAAAAATAGAGGGTAGAGGAGTGTTTAAGTACAACAAGGAATAACAGTGTCAGAGCAGGAATACTCCATGTAAAAGACTCAGCATTTTTGGCTTCTCCTATGCTGAGGACAGAGCTGTAGCACAACTGTTCACCTTTCCCCACCTCCTCATTCCTTCAGAGAACATGTCTGATTCCTGAGCCCTGTCATCCTCAGAGTGTACAATTTGCTATTATCACTGTGCTGCTGGGTTCTTTGTTTTTATCATGAATTCTTAAGCCATAATTATGACAATCATTTTCTATTTCATAGAATTAAAGTTTAAGATCTCACTTATCTATTGTATTACTCAGTCCATAACTTGTACTTGATCTCATGTTTCAATGCATTAAGATGTAAAGCTAGCAGATCACATCACGGCACTTATTGAACATTGCGATACTGCTACAGTCACCTATAAAAAGTAATTATGAAGAATATGTCATCCTGAATTAAGATAAGAAAAATCATGGATTCTTTCTCCTCAAAAAATTGCTTCATTTTGCAATTTCAGCACACCCATACTTCAGGTAGTCAGAAAACCAAGAACAGACTCCTATAACTTTCTGCTGCACTTGAAAAATCAACCTCTGCCCCAGCCCCTGAAATTGCATCGTCATTAAAATCCAGTGCTTGCTGAATGCTCAGTGATTAGAATGACCTCCAGCTCTGAAGGCAAGAACCTGAAAATCTGGATCTGTTACAGTCTTCATTTATCTACTATTGTATTTGATGAATTAAAAGACACTGATTGTAATTCATTAAACAGAGATGAGACAACTACATTGCAAGAGACCACAAATTAGATTTATAGCGTACTGCACAAGAAGTTTAGGACTAAAGATCAGAGCCTGTGCTGACATTTGAATAGTGCAAACAGAGTGACACAGGCAGCCTTTATTTCACATGCACCTTGTACAGTACCTGTAAGGGCCATATGCATGCTGACAGTACACCAACATGTTAATAGATAGGCAATTAAAAAGAAAACATGGCCATTGGCACAGAATTTATCCCTTGGTTGTTCTAGATTGTGACGAATATAGCTATGAACTCACATTGTAATCCAAAATCTCATTACTTCATCACCTCAGCACTCAGTAATGATACAGTACTGTATATACATCGAATAACAAAGCCAGCCTTTAGACTCAGAAGTAAAAATGTTTTCTGAACATTCATGTCCGCAGTATTTCAAAGCTCTCCAATAGCAATGGCTTTATACCTGGAAATTCATTTTATTTTTGCTCAATAAAATGTTTGCATGTGCGGCATGTGAGCAGAGCTTTGAAATGCCATAGCATATCCATCCACGCTGCACAAGCACAAAACCTCACTTTGCAGTGAGGGAGTAGTACTGACCAATTTCCATCTTTAGCCAACATAATTGCAGCTCCAGAAACTACGGGAAGAGACCCATTGAAACAGTTCACTTGGGTGCATATATATCATTATAATTTCCCTTGCTTTTATTTTTTCAGCACTATTTAAAAGCAGTTGTGCTCAGAATATCAGTTTGGATATACTGAAATATACTGTATACAGTGTATGTGATTGATATTGCATGAACTGGGATTTCTCCATCTCAAATTTTGGAAAACCTTTCTTACAGTCAGGTTACAGTAGATCAACGTTACTAAGGCCTATTAAATGGTACAGTAACAGTTCCCAGGATAAATAGCTTCAGGGAGGAATCATTTCCTAACACCTCTGTATGCCCCTCATCCCCTCCCCTTTTTGTTGGCAAAGAAAAAATCCCTGAAAAGCAAAAGGAAAACTGTTACGTCACGCCCCCCCAGTGATCTCACTGCCCTGAATCAACACCTTCACATTCCAGTGCAGTTTCCAATTAACTAACCAGACACACCTTCTTCCACCTGCCTACTTATACCAACCTGACACACTTCTCCTTGCTCAGTACTGGGTTTTTTTTTTTACAGTACCTAGCTAGAGTTGTAGTGTTTCCTTTTCCTACCTTTTGCAAGATTTCTAGGTTGTTGGCTCTGACTTCTGAATCTTGACTTGGTTATTGTGTATTTACTGGTTTTTGACCCTGGCCTGACCTCCTGACCCATGTTTTTGGATAAATTTCCTTCTGGTACTTAAGAGTGCCTAGGATTCTGCTTAGGATCCTTCTTCCGGATTATAATGGAAAACCTCAAACAACTAAATTAAAAGGAAGCCACTTGAGTTTAAATCATCATTTCATATTGATTTTAACTATGAGCAAAAAGGAAGTCAAACAAATTTGAACTCTGACAACTTGATGCTTATATTTTGTTTTGACAGGCTTGATAAATGAAATTTAAGAAACCTTTTTTTTTAGCTTTGGGGATTTTTTTAAATTCCATTATTAAACAAGCTAATCCAACTGAGAACAAATTCCCACTTGACTTGGCCCATTTGCACAGAAGGACTTTAACTGGGACAGTTTCAGAGAAATATTCTGCACAAGGTAAGGACCACAATGTCCACCATGTGGACTTGAAGCTGTGAGTGTCCAGTCTAGGGTCCAGAGCCCCAACCACACACACCCCACACAACAACAAGAATGATAAGTAAATAAAAGTAATCCAGTGATGTAAGTCAGTAGAAAATACAGCACAACCTTACTGATGGATGAAAACTGACATTGCGCAGACATGAAGTTAATAGAACAGTGAAAATATAGAACATGAAATATAGAGAACTTAAAGGAGTCTCAGATGTCTGCACTATAAAACTGAAATCCGTTATACTGAATGAAGGTGCTGTACCATACATGGGGGAGAGGGTTATACTGTACTGTATATATAAGACTATATTTGCATATTAGATTAATGATTTACTGGTTTAAATTAATCTTTAATTGAAATCACATCTTCAATTAAAAAAATTGTATCTTGCCAATTCATTACGGCTCTGTGTACCATCCCTAAGATGCAATACTTTTATCAAACTGAACCTCCTGAGCAATGAAGAACTGTGGGTGCAAGTCATGTCACCCAGTCACTCCAATGACTGGACCAATCTGGAGAGAGAGCTGAGTGTCCACAGATGTGTCTGAGGGCAGTTTTATCCACCTGGTTAAATCCTTTCTGCCTGACACTCAAATGCACTCATCAAGGGTGCCCTGCTCTGAATATTTCTTTTTGCTGTCCTGAATGCTTTCCTTTGTCGAATTCCCCATGCGCATTGTAAATAAGAATTTGTTCGCAACTTATTTATCGGATTAAATGAAGATTTTTTTCTTCTTCTTTTTATTTTCAATTCAGATGATAAAATGTAATTTGACTGGCATTGGATGTGAGAAATGATAAATACTTGAGGAAAAGCTCTCATTCATATTACGTTTTGTTAATAGCCGCCTGTTTTTAGACAGATCCCATGCAAACGCTTTGATGTAACAGTGTGAAGTACAGTGCATCATAACATGATATCCCAATGATGCAATTTACAGCTTCATTGCGTCTGTTCTTCTGCTAGACGATGGTCTACATTAGCGTTCTGCTGTTATGCCACAAAGCTGGACATTTATCCATAATAAGAATAGAGTTATCTTAAACAATCTCTCCAACATTATCAATGCATGCACACATCCTCATAAACACAATCTGTATTGTTCAACATCTGTTTTTGAGATTAACATAGAAGTCATTTCAATGGTGCACAGTTACAGTATATTGTATAGCCTTTCACAGGAAGAATTCAGTAAATAAAAGGAGGCTTTTTCTACAGGACACTATAGACTATTCCACCCCCATTCCTTCTGCAGAATAATTACTCTTGGGCAATGAAATGTAAATTGTTGTACCCAAAGCTTGCCTGCTTCCCTCTACTTATTATTGTTTTCACTTGGTGAAATCGGGGGAAAAAAATAAACCATTAATTTTTGGACCACTACAAGTGTGTGGTCATCCTTTTCCTTGAAAAAAACTCAAGACCTTATTTTATTATCAAGCTGCCTGGATTTCTCATTCAGATTTTTTTATATAAATGTACAACAATTCCCTCATCAACCTGTGCAAACAAGACTGCAGCTCTGCCACAGCAATTTAAACGGAACACTGCAATCTGTTAGATTTCATATTTGCAAAGCTGAAATCGGAGATGGTCAGAGGCAGAGAGCAAAGGAGAAGAAATTTCGGAATGCCACAAATATCAAGGAGAACTAGAAACGATTTATTTTATACCTGTACATCGGTACAGACACCGTCCGCTCATAGTAATTCCATGTCGACTGCAGATCTGTACGACTGAGGTTGGTAGCATAGAATCTCCATGCAGCCTGGAAAAAGACAGTTCTGTTCAGCATTTAAATATAGCAGATTTTACATCACAAATGCAGTGATTAACAGAAGCACATGTGCAGTGAAAGTTTTCAAATATCATTAGTGGTTCTCCAGAATATAATTATGTAAACTGCATTGGAGACTGGGAGCTCTTGAATTTACCTTCACTTGAAGTTTTATGGAGAAACATCCTTACAGGTTATAGTAGGTAATGCCAACCCCTGGTACTAATAATTAATAATAATAATTGCTTACACTTATATAGCACTTTTCTGGACACTCCACTCAAAGCGCTTTACAGGTAATGGGGACTCCTGTAAAGCCCCACCTGGATGATGCGACAGCAGCTATAGTGCGCCAGAACGCTCACCACACATCAGCTATTAGTGGGGAGGAGAACAGAGTGATGAATCCAATGGGAAATTTGGCCAGGTCACTGGGGTTACACCCCTACTCTTTTCGAGAAACGCCCTGGGATTTTTAATGACCGCAGAGAGTCAGGTCCTCGGTTTTACATGTCATCCGAAGGAGATTGCCTTTTTACAGTATAGTGTCCCAGTCACTATACTGGGGCATTAGGACCCACACAGACCACAGAGTGAGCGCCCCCTGCTGGCCCCACTAACACCTCTTCCAGCAGCAGCCTTAGTTTTTCCCAGGAGGTCTCCCAATTGGCTCTTGGTTAATCTGCCCTGGTCAAATCCAAAAGGGGGCTCATGTCACACGAGTGTCTTTTCATAATGCAAGTCTTCCCGAGTTTCACCTCAAAAATGACCCCATTACCTTAAATCAGTCCATCTAAAAGGTCAAGCAAGAAAAGAGCTAGACTATATTCCAACTTGCCACTCTACATACTGTAGAAAGAGAAACACAAAATTGTTCATGAAAACGGTTCTGTGCACTTTCTGAGGGGGGAATTGCTGCCTCACATTGCTGGGGCCCTGGGTTCCATTCCAGACCTGAGGTTCTGTCTGTGTGGAGTTTGTGTGTTTAAGAAGGTTTCCTCTGGGTGCTCTAGTTTCCTTCCACAGTCCAAAGACATAATGTTATTATGCCCTGTGATGGATTAGTGCCCCATCTAGGGTGTACCCCACCTTGTGACCATGGCTTGCTGTGATTGGTGGTCCTAAGGGGAGCTGATTGCTCTGTATTTATTGTGTGATTATAGGTATGAGCTGAGCTAAACCTCCAACAGCACCACTGATCCCCCTTACACCTTGCGTACTCAAACCACAAAGTGCTTCTGAGATTCAAAGCCAGTCTGTCCTGTAGGACAAGGTTGCATTCCATGGTTATCATTGTCAAGAGGGAGCAAAGATGCATAAACAAGGCAATGTAACCAAGGGCTTTAATAACAGAGCAGACCCAGGATAACCTGAACTGCTGCACATTCCATTAGCTTGTGACTTGACTTGACAATTTGTATAAAAAAGATTTATAGCTTTGGAATATCTCAATACGTCAGTTGTACATATTAACGGGTCAGATAGTTCAGTTCTTCCAATCTATGGTCCTTGGAGACTGCGGTCTCTTTTGACCAAGAAATTAATCACAAGGTAATTGGTGACTAGTTGATGCATATTTTTTAAGATGCTGTCAGCTCCTAAAAAGTTTAAGGGGAATTTAAAAGGGGTATCAACAATTACCAATTTCTGAGATTCAGATTAAAAAAATTCTTGATTCATATCTCTCAGTTCGGGATATGTTACCTATTGGAGCTCTGGAGGAAGAAAAACACACTTTCTGTAAAAATGTATGTTATACAGTGTCACCTGTGTCTCTTCATCATAAATTAATAATAAATTGTTTAGACTGTTTAGCTTTCCGTGTGCTGAAGCCAGTGTTCTGTGTTGTCACATGTATTTCAAAGAGGTATTTCAAAGCTGCAGATGATCTGAAGTCTTTGGTCTGGTGTTTTACTGACGTTACCTGGATAAGGCCTGCTGCAGGATTTCGGCGTTTTTCAAAATGTTTTTGTCGATGTTGTTCCTGGACCTTCAGGGCAAACCCAGAGCCCAGGATACCCTGCAAGACAAAAAGCAAACCGACAAATATTGCAAAAACTGCCAGTGAACAGTGTGCCACGTAAACACTACCTGTTTATGCACAAAAAGGTTTGGATGGGAAGATTTGCAAGATGCATTCTTTCAGAGCATCTCAATTTACTGAAGAAACGCATGCATTCGAAAATGTTTTGCGATGTTTTGAGTTAAAACACAGTGCCTTGGCTGTTACTATCTTCGGTTGAGCATGGAGGTTGGGCAGTTTCACAGAGAGACCCGACATACTGTACTTCTTAAGAAATCACTCTTCACTTACAGCTGGAAGTGCAAAGAATGACACTCCTATCAGGGTGAACGTAGCAGCAAGAAGACGACCATTCCATGTTACCGGATATTTGTCACCATAACCTATGGTAGTCAGAGTGATCTGAGAGAGAAAACATAAAACACTTGGAATAATTCTGAAAAGGCATCAATATTTAAGCCTAGCAAACTTGTCAGAACGTGGGTTTAAATTTCCAATCCACAAACCTACTGAAATGTTTTCAAGGTGCTTTTTATGTTCAGGCAAACTGTACCATGGAGTTTAAGAGGCATCATAGCAATCATGTTACCCTTATCAAAGGTAGCCGTATAAAAGGCTGGCTATTTGTAAAATTAAATCTACAAGAAAAATATGGATGCTTTAGAATTAACCCCATAGAGCATCTTCTTGGGTGAGAAAAGTTCGACTACTGTATATTAGGTTGTTGCAAGAACGGTATTTAAATGATGGATGACCAGATGAGTGTCCTGTTACCTACATTCATTACAGTAGAGCCTGTGTAATGTCTTGAGTAAAAAATAGGAGTGGCATCACTGTAGCTCTCATCTTTAGGCTGATCAACAACTGCACTGACTCCCAAAATCTATCCACTGAAAGGCTTTAGAGAAAGAGGCACGTACAAGTCCCCACCACAGTGCGTCAGCGTAGGTTTCAAACTCCTTGTTGTCTTCCTTCTCTGCCAGGTATACCAGGAAAGAAGCCAGAATGAGACAGAGGAAACCGATGTACCAAGCAGTGATGAGTTCCTGGAGAGAGGAAAGACACGTTACCATCACAGTCACAAGACTCCACTCCCCTCCCAAAAAGTCTGCTTACATAGAGCTGGGGCTATACACCACAAAGTTCACAAGGAATAAATATCATTATTGTAGTCATGGAGATTTTGATGGTGTTTTTTTCTCTTTCTTTGGGCGGGGAGGGGAGTCACTGTTGCAAGGAGGGATGGGTAAGGGTGGGGTTGGGATATTTGGTTTTGTTTTCATTTCAGATGACAATTTTCTGGCTTCCCCACACCCTGTATTACGGATGGACGGATGTGTGTATAAAAAAATGTTATTCCTTGTGAACAACACCCAAGAATTAGATATGTTTGAGGTTGTTTATTGACTGCTTAGGAACAACAGATACGTGTTGTACAGAGCTTTGTACTTTTCCACTTCAACTTTAAGCTCTATGTTGTCGATATTTGAGATTTCTTTTGAAGTAAACTTTTTGATGAAAGCAAACGGAATCCATGATGTGATTTGATGTTTTCTCATGGGTCACCTGGTCCATAACCTCATCAACCTATCCAGCACTTCAGCCACAGGGGTTTGACTGACAGCTCAGGGAAACTAGTAGCAGACAGGATCATCGGTACCCTTGCAAGCATCCTATAATTTCAGGGGGGATTGTGACTTGTTGGGACATGTTATTGGAATAGTATAATGATAAAGTTATTCAAGTCTCCCATCCAGGTAATGACCAGGCTCACACCTGCGGAGCTTCAGTGGGTTGCCAGTTGTGAGTTGCAGGCTGGCATGGCGTAATAGGGCTGCATCACTTCACTGGACGTTTTGTTGCCTCGCTCTGTATTGCAGAATATGGCGCCGTACATACCTAGGAATTTCATCCATTTTATGATGTAACTTTTACAAGTTACTTTGCCCGTTTTACTTCTATTGCGGTCTGGACATGCTCTCACCCATGCTGATTCTTTCTAACCCTGAAACCTACCAACAGCCCCGCAGTTCCCCTTTAAACAGGTCTGAGATTCAACAGGCACAGCTGAACTGGCTACTGCTGGTCACATGACAGCAACCGTGGCCCTCGAAGAAGGGCTGGCCAGGCTCCGGAGAGCTTGCAGTGTCATCAGTGGGGATGACATCTGCTCTCCCTCGGATTCCCTCTGGCTGATGCCGTGTGCTCGTGAGTGCGATTGTGAAGTGGAAAGCCTGACAAGCACATGGCTGGAGGTTGCGTGGACACTGTGTTAATCTGTCCTGAGCTGGCAGGAGAGTGGTGGGGGGTGAGCCAGGCACATACTGTATAGAATCAGTCTGTCTTGATGAAAAATGATGTAAAAACCCATCTTCACTCACATGTAACAGTCCAAGCGGCTGCATTATTCCACATGAAAGATGCCCGAGTTTGTCAGTGCTCCTGCATTTTTAATACAGAGTTCTCACAGGAAAACCTTAAACAGCACTACCATAAAATATAATTGATATGAATGATTTTTTGTCGTGCAAAACACACAATTTGTTTCTCCCTTTATGTCCCTTTTATTCTTTCACATTACCAGCCAGAGCCACCCTGGTACTGTAACTGGAGGGACTGTGTAATAAATATTGCTGCAGAAATTGCAATAAAAAAAGACATTCCCAGGGAGATCCAATAAATGGAAAGGCACAGAGGCTGCATCAGTGTCTTCCTGTGCTGGTCCAATTCATTGTCGCATGACAGTTTCCTGGAATGCGTCATTATAATGACAACACTAATCGCTCTTCTATTTCAATCTCAGCCTGATATGGTACACCTACAGTGCTGGCATAAGAAGGAAGGAGTCACGTCATTCCGTGAAAAATTATAGTCTTCCATAATGTGGGCGCTGCATACAGAGCAAAGAGAATATAGCATGACACTGCGGATGGTGGTTTCTGACAGGGGACCACACTTGGCACTGAAATACAATTAGTGGCCTGTTGAATTACAGCTCACACACAAAGCAATGGGACAGGAAAATGATCCTCCATGGAGATTCGCAGGACTCTGGGAAAGTGTTGAAGCTGGAAGGTGGTGAAGTGGTTTCCGAAACCCAGCTGTGGATGATAGTGTGGTTTCACTTCTGCAGAACTGAGAACAATCTAACAGAATAGCAGGAAAAAGAACTAAAAAATATATGTTCTGTGATCCCAAAGAAACTCCAAATGCAGGGGAACTTAAGTTTACCATTTAATAACCCAATACTTACTGATACTCATTAATAGTTGTCTGCCAAAGTAAGTCACCAGTGCACATAACCTCTACCATTAGCACTCATTTTTTAAATAATTTTTCATGATATATTTCAGGGAGTGGGCATGATAAAGTAGCAGTCAAGGCTCTGGACTTTAAATGGATACTACACTTGTAACCTCAAGCAAACTTCTTCACCCTGGTTCCTCCAGTCCAAGTTTTATGCTTTCAAGAAAGGCCCTGTGCTGGTGATGTCTTTCCACCTTAGGCACCATTTTTCATAAAGCATAAGCCATTAGTCTTGTTCACTGTACTGTCTGGCAGATGCACCCCAAGAATCACTCACTGAGGTCTTCTCTAGCAGTTGTGTAATAATTACAGTATAGGCAGTGTGCTGTGACGCTGGGGCGTGCCCAGTGTGGAGGTGGAGCCCTGGTAGAAGGGCGACACCCCGCCTTTGTAGTCCCAGCTGTCCTGGCTTCTAGATGATGAGCCCCACTGGGCGGGTCCTACAAAGGCACACTGGACACCCCCCAAGGGAACGAGCAGGGCTACCCCCGGAAGGGGGAGTTTTACACCGACAGTCCCGGAGGGGTTTGCAACGGCGTAAGGTTTTCTTTGTCTGTTCATTTTTCTTTTTGCCTGTCCCATCATGCACTTTCACCAGGGAAGGCGTACACACTTTTTGTTACGGACTCAGTTCTTGTTTTGTTTTTACGTCACATGCCCTGCTCACCAGACTGGACCCTCTTCATAGGGTAAGCCCAGCCCGGAGGTCACACGGCACAGCAGTACACTTTCTTTTTGCCTTTTTGTTGCTTTTGGGCACTCTTTTTGTATTGTTTTTGGTCCCTGCTAACCTCACACCGGTGCTTCTGTCCCCTCGCCCGGGGCGTAGACTATTTACCGTTGCGCGCCAAGGTGCCTCCCCCACTGCAGACACACCAGCCAGGCCTGTCTGGGATTTTTATACATGGCCCAAAGCTGGATGGCATGCTTCTTGCTTAATGTACATGTGAGCCTTACCTGGGTGGATGCCCTTATTTTTAATATTCTTGCTCTCAGTCACCCTGGTTATTCCCATTTAGCTCTATCGTACCGTCTCTGCTCTCGGGATTCTAACCACATACCTTGCTGTGAGCATAGACAACTGATCCCAGGAGCTTCCAGGTGCCGCCTCGACGGTCCATTCGGATCATCCGCAGGATCTGCAGGAACCTCAAGCTCCGGATGGCAGAGGTGGCAAACACATTTCCCTGGGTGCCAGCGGCCAGCACGGAGATGGATGCGATCAGCACCATGATGTCTGATGAAACAAGAAGCGATATACTGTAGATTGACACAGCAGTTGCAGGACAGAAGGATATTAACACTGAATTGAGCTCAGATCCAGGGAATCTTTGGGGAAAAACGTCTTTTGCTCACTTATTAGTAAGATGGGAAAATAAATTCAGGGATAAATTCTTCCCTCCATTGATATATTCTTTGCCATTCTTATTTCCTAAATTGTAAATACTACATTAATTTATGGATTAGCCCATGAGGAATTATCTTAAGGATGGACCATTACAAACTATGATTGAGCTAGTTATATTATCCTGAAAATGAATGCTTCAGTGTTTCTACAGGGGTCAGGGACAGGTGCCGTTTGCCTTTAAGATGGTTTAAAATGCATTACAGGCAGAATGTGTTACTGCACGGTGCATTGTGACAGAAGATTCACTTTAGTATGCTGTGGGCTTGTCCTCAGGCAGGTGAAGGTTAGAGAAAGATAAGGTAAGAGAGAGACATCAGTGCCCAAGATGGCTGACGTTTCATCCTCACCGATCACACAGAAAGGTTTGCGGGCAAATTTCAGCCTCCCCCTCCATCCTCTGTAACGACAGCAGCAGCCAGCCGCCCAGATTCTCACAAAGTACTCCACACCGAACACCACGATTGTCACGATTTCCTGCAGAGAGAGAGGATTTTTGCCTGCTTCGTTAATAAATAGGGCAAAGACAACAGAGACTTGTTCTGTAAAAAACCTTCTAAATAACTGGTTTGAACGATAGATTTACCATAGAGATGCATTACTTAAATACATAACCACATACTGAGAAAGTATTTCTGTTTGAATTTGATAACTTTTATGCCTTTGATTAGTAGTAGATAAGAAGGTTCTTTGAATGACTGTAAAGGCACATGGTAAAGAACACTTTTAGGTATGAGTAGCCTCATATTTAAACTTAAAGTTAATTTAAACAACAACATTCCCTAGACTTTCTGCTATATTTTTAAATACTGCTATGTTACAAGTTATGCACACTTAAAAGAAGTCTATTCAGATCTATTGATTTATTGCGAGTTTACTCCTGGTACAGTACTCACCAGTATGTACAGGGCATCTTCAGAACTTTTTTCATAGTCCTTGATAGTGGAAAAGACTGACAGCACTAGACAGGAGAACACTAGCAGAAAACTGAATCAAAGAATGAGAAAAAAAACATTATGGGAATACAGTTTGTATGCAACGCCTAATGCAGAAAAGGAATCAATTATATTCAGAACTCACAGGAGCTGTGCAATTGTGTAGAAACATTTAGAAGACCAGGATACCCACAGATAGCTTAGCTGTATAGACCTCCTTTCACCAACTAGGAAAATTACCCATTACATACTGTACTGTATGGAAGAGATGGGTATTCATGATTTTACTTCCCATAACACTATGCTATATTTTACTGTGCTATATTTCATGACCAGCTACTGATGGTCCGAGATGTAGCAGTCAGAATGCTCACTAGAGCAAAACGACCACAGCACACCTCTATTGCTCTTTGACGACTGGGCTAACTTCCAGTCAGACAGCACAGATTTTGAATGTTTGCTTTTCATAAACCCCTTAATACTTTCAGACTTTATGCTTGTAGGATCTGTTATTATATGACCCTGCCCAATACTTGAGATCAGTGAGTGTTGAATTCCTTTTGTTCTTCTGAACTAAAATTAGGAGGAGCAGAGGGCTTTTAATCGCAATGGGCCTTGTCTCTGGAACTTCACTCCAGAAAACCGTGTACGTGTTAGGTTGGATTAATACAGTAGGTGAGCAAATGCTTTTGGCATTGTTATATTGTAAATTGCTTTGAAAGACTTGTATGAGGACAACTACTGTAGATAAGCCTACTTTATCCTGAATGTGAATATGAAGGGAATTGAATCCAAAGTCTTATGAAGATCTTATGAGAAGACGAAAAAGACCAAATTGTTTCAAAAACCAAACTTGTGTCTTTTTAATTATTTGCAACCTTGAACATTCATACAATAACCAACAAATATTTCCTGATTAAACACTTCCCCTCTGGCCATCACTTGAACAAATTACACTGGGCTGAACAAGGATTCACCATGAAATGCAGTGGTAGCTGTAATATTAGAATGCAGAATGCCTTGATTATATTGTAAAGTTAATTGCTCAATTCAGGCAGTCAGATTAGTCGTTTTTCCAGGTCAGGTGTTTTTAGCAGCTATTAATTGAAATGCTCCTGCAAGACCGGCACTTCACTAAGAGCACTTCAGCTCTCAAGAACTGGAATTGAGCTGTAAGAGGTACAGTATACAGTAGCTGTCCTTGGTCCTGCAGAGCCACAGTCCAGCATGGCTTATAGGCTTCTTTTAAATCATCCACTTACGAACTGCTTTATCCAATTTGGGGTCAAGAGGGAGTCAGAGTCTATCCTGGCAAACAAAGGTGCAAGGGAGGATACACTCTGGATGGGATTCCAGTCCTTGGCAGCACACACACACACACACTCACACCAGGGCTAATTTTCCGGTTTGTCTTTGGACTATGGGAGGAAACCCAACAGAACACACAAACTCCACACAGATACCACTCCAGGAATTGAACCCAGGGCCCCAGCACTGCAAGGCAACAATGTTGACAATGTCACTGTATCACTTTTTTGTATTGCTGAGACCACAGAAGGAGCTGGCTGACCAGTCCTAGCCTACTAAATTCAGTCAACTGTTCTGCAAACCTGCTCAAATGCACCCACACTCAGGCCCCACCTGTACCCATTGTGCTACTCAGTTGGCCAGGTTTGAGAAATCCAGTAAGTGAATTGGTTGAATTAAGTCACAACTGGCCAAAAGCGGTTCTTGAAAGCTTCACAGTGATCATTTCAAATGACATCTCTACTATTTAGTTAACCCTCTGCTACTTAATTGGCCAAATCACTTGTGTCTGTGTTCAAATCGACTTTCTTTAAAGTCTTAAGGAATTCACAGTTTAAGGGTAACTGATAAAGCCAATTGGATTGAGGTTTTCTAGTGTGGGGTTAGCTCCCATGTGATAAATTATTAAATGTGCAATGAGAATGCAGGTGTTACAGATTTAGCCAGCATCTGAGGAATCTAGTCTTAGTATGATTAAGTGCAGAGAATTAAGTTGCAATTATTATTGTAGTCAGTGGTACAAAATGCCCTGCAAAAGTGAACGTGCACGACATCCATGTCTCGGATCAGAAAAAGGTGCTGATCTGTTAGAAAGGATGGCTGACTGGGTCTGTGCCACTCACAGAAAGCTGCAGTACATTCATCAGAAAGTGCTGACCAGTGCAGTACTCATTTTCCCGCACAACTGACTTGAAAGTCTAACATATGGAGGATTAAAAATAACACTGCATAGCCAAGTCCCATTCAATCATTCTCTATGTCATTCCTCCATTTTGTGAAAAAATATGCTGTTTCTGTGGGCCAACCAGCAGTAAAGTTCACGCAAACAAAGTAGGCCCCATCCAAAGAAGTGTTATTAATTGCGGCTATAATTACAACAGCTTTCATCCTTCCCCAGCAGAACTGAAAGCACAGAAACAATGTTTACTTTCTAGGGCAGCAGGACCTGGTAAATGTATGTGCATTCTGGAATCATGTGGGAAACGGTCAAATGTCACGGCTGGAAGATCTGTTTCTTTGATGTGTGGCTAAATCACACTTTTTGGTCTGTGGCCAATGACATGCTGAACCCTGTATCATCCTCGTACATCCCCTTACAACCCTTACATCGGTTGTAAGACAAACGGTAAACGAAATGGAAGATATTCGAAATCATATCCAGCCTTCCTTTATGAACTGGAATGAGGATTAAATCAAAATATACTGAAATGCTAAATATACGGAAATAACTCCGTGGAGAATGAAAACGAGCTCTCAAAAAATATTGACCACTCGGAACACAAAGACCAGTTTTCTTCATTAAAAATATGAGATCCTTAGCTCTTTTTTATTTTGTTACACCCTAAAATGTGGAACTGGCAACTGCTACAATTAATTCAATTAGCTTGTCGTTATAATCCTCCACTAGCACTGGTGGAAATACTATTTGGATACAGTGCAAACCATCCTTTGAATGTATGCTTGTCAGGAGGCTTAGGTTCAAAGCTGTTTGCAAATACCATCCATATACTGTAGTTTAAATGTTTATTCATCTATGTTCATTGAGTTGAGACCACCACAGTCAGAGCTTCGCTAATCACCAGTCACAATTGTAGTCCCTCCTCCTTAAGGGCGCTCCGGCTCTTTCACTTCTGAGTTGATTTTGTGGACCTGCCCCCTGTTCCAGCCTCCTATTAAGCCCACCTTAAAAGCCAGACGCCCACTCTGTTCCGGGCTCTGCATTGGTTCCCGTACCAAGTGAGTCTGGGATCCGAGCGCCTGGTCCCGTTCCTCCTTTGTTCCCCCCTTGTTCCCCCCAACCCTCCACCGGATCCTGCTCCAGTTTTTAATCCTGTTTGTCCTCGTCTCGGATGGACCGGCCGGCTTTGGACTTTTGCCTCATCTTGGGATTTCCCATTGGACTCTGTTTTGGATTGTTTGCCCCGGACTCAGCCCCCTGAACACCAGCGCACCATGGACACGCCGCCCGTTTTCATTCCCGACTCCTGCATGCTTTTTTCCCCGTGTTTTCCTCACTCACCCCCACGTTGTGTCGTCTACATAGGGTCCCGAAAGAACGCTTTCGTTACATCACCATCCAGTCAACTCAATCAAACCCACCTATCCAAGATCTTCTCAACCCTTGAAAGTGACAATTTTAAAGCATTTCATCGGCATGTCTTTTGCACTGTAATGCTCTACTTGCTGGGGTATCTAAATCTACTCTGAACAAACTGCAGTATAGTATGTCCAAAATTCAGCAGCCAGAATCCTGACCAGGTCTAGTGCAAGTGTTCACATTACTCCTATCCTGGAGTCCTTGCACTGGCTTCCGGTCAAATTTTCCGATGTGAAAATCTTGACCAGACGAATGGATAATACTTGGCTGAAATATAATGGATATCTCACCTTGCCAAACATGGATGAATAAATCTTATTGCCTGCTAAGCTGTTCGTAGAAATGCATTTGAGCTTTTTTTTACTGGTCAGCTGTAACCACCTCTAGGGCATGCTATGAGTACCTCAGTGCCTTTACTTTCACTGACCACACTGCAGACTCACTGATCATAATTACAAAGTTGCTATGTTAATGGCATAGTTCATACTTGAATCCATGAAGTCTGGATTATCTTGGTCTCCAAGTCAGTCCTTTAATAGTCGGTCCACTCAGGTGGAGCTATAATAGTTGTGTTCAAAGTCTTTCCATTGCGAATCCCCATACTTGGCCAATTCTGAATCCCAATGGCAACTTGGGGTAAACTAGAGGCTTTAGGTTTCTACCCAGTGGAAAGCTACCATCTTATAACAGACCTAGAATTTTAGATTAAAGGGTGGGACAATTTAGTTACATTAATGTAGGTCTACAGCTTTCTTCCCTGTAAGACAGACTTACAGTGTGATTTATTAGTAGCACGTAAATTCAGCACACAGCAGTTAGCGTGGCAAGCTGTGTGCACTCAGTGCTCACTGTGGGTTTTCCCATTTACTTGTCAGAAGGATTTATGTCCAAAGCTGAATCCCACTATTGCTTTCTTTTCCTTTTAATAGGATTAGTCTCCAGATTACATCTGATTGAAATCTTGTTTAACTCACACCCATAAGAACAAGAATGGAATTGGTGGTGTGTTCATGTTCTAATGACATATTTTGGGATCATGGATTTATGGACTGAAGTTCATTTTCTGAAACATCCATGTTCATGTATGCTACTTTTCTTCAGCAAAAAAAAGGTCATTATCATACAGTATGTGGTGGACAAGAATTGTGGTATTTCCTTGAAACATTATAAGATGTGTGGAAGATAAATGTCTACCTCCAACAACTTACTGTATAAACCCACAATCCACCAAATCAAATTTAATGACATTTGAATTATATTTGATATTTTTCATTCTTTTTCAGTTTACAGACTGCATTTTAATTGACCATGTACTGTTCTTCTTTCAATTTTGTACTTCCATTTTGAGCGAAACAAGTGCACTATGAAACATTTGCATTGTGCTCTAAATTACTTGCAATTCTAGAGTACTAGCACGTTTGCCAAAG